CCCCCCTTCTTTCCTCTGGGTCCTTAACCCCCCACACTCACTGGCTCCAGCCACACTGGCTTCCCTGTTGTTCCCTAAACATACCAAGCACATTCCACCTCCGGGCCTCTCACTAGCTGTTCCCTCTATGTGGAACATCCCCTAGGTATCTACATAGCTTAATCCCTCATGGCCTTCAAGCTTTTGCCCAAATGTCACCAGAAGGAAGCACACCCTGACTGTCCTGTTTAAAATTGCAATCGCCTGGCCGCCGGTGGCTCAGTGGTTGAGCGTCAACCTGGGATCCAGGAGACCAGGGTTCGGTTCCCGGTCAGGGCACATGCTCAGGTTGCAGGCTCGATCAATGACTCTCTCATCATTGATGTTTCTGTCTCTCTCTCTCCCTCTCCTTTCCTCTCTCTGAAATCAATAAAGATATATTTTTAAAAGTCTTATTCTAAAAATAAATAAATAAATAAATAAATAAATAAATAAATAAATAAATAAAATTGCAATCAACTCCATTCCTGCTGCCTACTGTGCTCTACTTTTTATTTTATCCGTAGCATTTAGCACCATCAACATACTATATACTTTATGTATTTAATATAACTGCTCATTTTCTTCTCCTCTTCAAAAATGTGAGACCAGAGCATGAATACTTGTCCGCTTTACTGATTTATCCCAGGCCCCTAACCCTGGCACATAACAGGTGCTCAATAAACATTTGTTTTAAAATGACTCCTAGCCAACTGGGGGCGGAACAGAGGTCAGACCTAAGTCCTAGTCCTCTGTACTAGTTTCCTGTTGCTGCTGTAACAAGTTACCACAAACTTGGTGGCTTAAAGCAATATGAACTTATCTTACAGTTTTACAGTTCAGAAGTCTGACGGGTCTCACTGGGCTAAAACAAAGATGTCAACAGTTCCTTTCTGGAGAAGCCAGAGGAGAATCTATTTCTTTGCCCTTTCCCGCTTCTAGAGGCCACCTGTATTCCTTAGCTCATGACCCCCTTCCCCCAACTTCAAAGGAACCAACGTTGTATCTCACTGTGCCTTTCTTCTATAGTCACACCTCCCTCTGACCCTCTTGTTCTGCAGCCCCGTTTCAGCCCCTTTTCACTTTAAAGAACCCTTGAGATTACATTGGACCCACAGGATAACCTCTGTTTTGTTTTTAATCCTCACCTGAGGATATTTTTTCCATTGACTTTTAGAGAGAGTGGAAGGGAAGGAGAGAGAGAGGGAGAGAGAGAGAGAATAGATGTGAGAGAGACACATCGATTGGTTACCTCTCGCACCAGCCCTGACCAAGGGTTGAACCTGCAACCGAGGTATGTACTGTTGGCCGGGAATCAAACTCCAGACTCTTTGGTCTGCAGGCCGATGCTCTAACCACTGAGCAAAACCAGTCAGAGCAATCTCTCTGTTTAAAAATCAGCATAGTAGTGACCTTAATTCCATCTTCAATCTTAATTCCCATTTGCCATATAACCTAATATATCCACAGGTCCCAGGGATTAGGACGTGGACATTTGTGGTGGCTGTCACTCTGCCAACCACACTATCTGGAAGAAGAGAAGTGGGCCTGAGAAGGAGCAGCCAGGGGAAGGAGGTAGGTCAGCAGGAGAGAGACATATCACAGAAGCCAAAGGAAGCCTGAGTTCCCAGGAAGGAGTGTACTACAGTGATCAATACTGTTGGGAGGTCAAGCCTGATAAGAACTGAAAAATATCCGTTGGATTTAGTGTCCTGATGACACCAACCATTAGTTGGGGTAGTTTTGGGGGCAGGAGCTAGTTTATGGTGCCCTGAGCATCAAGGAAGAAGTGAGTAAGTAGAGACTGAGAGTGTAAAATCTTCCCAAAAACTTGATTGTAAAGGGAGATTTGTTGCTGTTTCTAAAATAGGAAAGAAGCAAATTTTCAATGCAGATGAGAAGGAAGGAGAGATATAGGAGCGATGGGTCATCAATAAATGCGATGTCGCTCAGCTGGCGTGGCTCAGCAGTTGAGTATCGATCTAGGATCCAGGAGATCTGGATCGGATTCCTGGTCAGGGTACATGCCAGAGTTGGGGGGTCGATCCCCAGCAGGGGGTGTGCAGGAGGCAGCTGACCAACGACCGTCTCTCACCATTGGTGTTTCTATTTCTCTTCCTCTCCCATCCTCTCTCTGAAGTCAATAAAAACATATTTAAAATAAAATAAATGCGATATCTGTGAAGGGGAGAGTTCAGCTAGTCCACCGAAAGCTTCACCAGGAGGGACTGTTGGATTGACCCAGGCTCAGGTTTTGCCAGGCGGGCATCGCAATAGAACAGAGGTTAGGATACCGTCAAGGGTGTGGCCGAGCTGGTAGAGCTGGGAATTTAAGGAGAGAGAAAGCGAGAGAGAGACCCGCCGGCAGGAGGCGCTGGTGAGGCAGGGGGGATTGCTGTAACTAAGGATATTGCAATCTTAATGGCATCTGAAATAATTTCAGGGGAAATGCTTGGTTCTCGGTGGATCGCACTACTCGCTGGATTTCGTGACCCGCTGGCCTCTAGGTCCTGGACGTCCCAATGCTTAGAATAGGGCCTGTCATAGAGTAAGCGCTATGTACTGTTAGCTATGATTAAGATACGTACGTAATTTTTAAAACTCCGGGGACTCCATTTCCCTTGAGGCTTTGCGGCCCCTTGGACTACAACTCCCCTAATGCCTGGCAGGACCTCCAGTGCCTGAGGACCCAGGGCGGGCACTCTGGTTTTCCAGTCCCAGCATCCCGCGCTGTTTGCCTGCCTCACCCGCGCGCAGTTTCAGCCCGAGGGAAACCCCATTGGGTCGAGAGTGCGGAGCTAGACCTCGCCCCGCGGCGGGGTGGGCGTGGCCGTCCCTCGCCCCGCCCCTGCTCCGTGGCTGGTTCGCTTTCAGCGGGCGCCCGACACCCAGACATGGGCCTGACCTGGGGGAGCCCCGGGGCGGTGCGGCTGGCGCTCTGCCTCGCAGGCTTGGTGCTCTCTCTCTACGCGCTGCACGTGAAGGCGGCGCGCGCCCGGGACCAAGATTACCGCGCGCTCTGTGACGTGGGCACCGCCATCAGCTGTTCGCGTGTCTTCTCGTCCAGGTGCGTGTGGGAGTGGAAGGCTTGGGGCGCCCGGCCACTCGTGGGTGCGGTGCTTGGGGACCAGGTGTGCATGGCGAACAGGTTGCCAGGAGGCAGATGCATGGGGACCAGGCTGCTCCGGGGGGGCACTTGCCCAGCGAATCGGGTGTGTCCGTGATAGGAGGGGCGGGCTGGGGGCGCAGATAACGCTGGGGACTGTGGTTACTATGGGGAGTAGTACGTGGATCTGGATTACAAGGAATAACGGTGACCAGGCAGGAAGGGGGGGCCAAGGTGTAGGGACTGATGATGGTCTTGAGGATAGTCGTGCCTGGGGATGAGGCAGCCGGGTCTGGCTATGCTTCAGGGCCTCGGGCTAGTGGGATGACCAAATACAGAGGAGGGGAATGCGCGGCCAGGAAGCTGGAGAATTAGGGGTCCAGAGAGGTTCAGCCGGGGATTCCCAGTCTCTGGTAACTCTGTAAAGCAAGGTCAACCGTTATTTCTCACCACACCGGCTTAAGAATTATTGAAGGTCTAGGATGAAAAGAGAGGCCTAAGGGGGAACCTTGGCCAGGCCTGGCCTGGGAATAGGGAAAGATAGGAGCAAACACATGGAATCCTGAAGCGGTCAAAGGGAAGCTTCACCAGGAGGTCATCAACCCTTGGCCTCAAGCTGGGGTAGGGGGTTGGGGACAAAGGGCAGGGAGATAGTCCACGTGGCTTCTTGGAAATCACCCCTCCAGGACAGGGCCCAAGGCACTGGGTTGACACTCCTTACCTGCGCCCTCCCCTCCACCAGGTGGGGCCAGGGCTTCGGGCTGGTGGAACAAGTGCTGGGCCGGGACAGCATCTTCAATCAATCCAACAGCATATTCGGTTGCATCTTCTACACACTACAGCTGTTGTTAGGTAACTGGCCCTGCCCCTTCTTTGCAGGCCCCCTTCCTTTCCAGTCCCATCCCTTGCAATCTTGGGGACTCCTACAGCTGACAGGCAGCTGCTCATCACAGCACCCTGGGGGTGGGAACTAATAGGAGGCTTTCATTTAGCTAGGAAATGTCAGAGCCAGAGGACCCTTAACCACTTTGTAAGACACCAGTTTTGTGGGAAAGATGCAGAAGTTCTTTTTGGGGGGAATCTAAGGATCGTTTGTCTTTCATTTCATGTACATGAAATTTCAGCAGGAAAATTCATTACTTGGGTCCCAGGGATCTTTGAACAGATAGGAAAACCAAGGCCTTGGTAGGACCTGTCAGACCCTCTTATTTTAGAGACTCTTTCCAGCAGCCCCTGCTGTCTGGGTGGCACCATGTAATGTAGTCACGGCAATGTTCTAGAGGTGGCCTGTCCCTGAAGCCCATGTTTGACTCTTTTCTTCCTTGCAGGTTGCCTCCGGGGCCGCTGGGTATCTGTCCTGCTGCTGCTGAGTTCCCTGGTGTCTCTCGCTGGTTCTGTCTACCTGGCCTGGATCCTGTTCTTTGTGCTCTATGATTTCTGCATTGTTTGCATCACTACCTATGCCATCAATGTGGGCCTGATGGTGCTCAGCTTCCGAGAAGTCCAGGGACCCCAGGGCAAAGTCAAGGGGCACTGAGCCCTCACCCCGAGCCAGGTTGACCGCTTATGCTGTGCTTTGGCATGTCAGCCTTGCCTAAGGGGGACATGTCTGGGTCCTTAGAAGAGTCTACAACCCACCTCCACCATACTCCCAACACAGGATAATGGACCAAATGTGCCACACTCTTTCCTCCACCTAGTAGCTCTGGCTCCAAGGATTGGTTTCCAAAGCTCCTGCCATTGCCTGAGGAGGGAGGGTTCTGAGCAATAAAATTTGTTAAATTGGTTAAGTCTGAGCCACTTGTCTGCCCGCGACCCCAAGTCTTGCCTCCTCTGGGGCTGGAAGGATATGAGTCAGAGGGAAAGTGAGGGTCTTCCTGGGATGGGTGGTTAGTTCCTCCTCCAGCATGTGGAGTCAGCAAGACTGGGGCACCCCTAGCCCCAGGAAACAGGCTGGCAGCTTGCTGCTGCCCACGGGAGCCAGGCCTCCTCTCCTGTGAGGGCCAAGCACCCACTTGCAAGGGGAAGCTGCCCTGGTTCTACGCATGCTTGCTGAAACCTTAACCCTTCTGGTGGCCTTATCAACCACCCCAAGACAGTGTTGGCAGCCCTGAAGGGCCAGGGACAGGTTGGGGTTTTTTCTTGTTCTCCCTAATACTTACTCAGAACTTACTTGCATGCCAAGAACTGCCTAAGAACATGACATGTGTTAACTCGTTTAATCCTGATAGCAATTGTATGACATAGATACTATTATTATCCCTAACTTGATGAGGAAACTGAGGTGAAGAGAGGCTAAGTAACTTGCCTAAGATCACACAGCTAGTGCCTGGAAGGGGGTTAGGGAACCCTCAGTATTTTAACCCACCAGGGCCATCTGGTTCCGGTTTCTGTGCTCTTCACCCTATCCATAGCTGCCTCTGTGTTGGAGTCAGGGTTCCTGAACATTCTGGGCTGGCCTGAGTTAAAGTCAGGAACAAGAAAGAATGTACTCTGAATGTTCTTCCCCCCTGATTGAGTCTTCCAACACCAGCAAGAAAGGTGGGCACCACTGGAACTGTCTGCTGAAAAGGTGGCAGGCCTAGAGGGGTGCTGAGATTTGCCAGTCTCATGGCTAGCAAGTAGCAGAGAGCCCTGGCCCCTTGACTGCCAGCCCTGAACACACTGTATCTGAAGCAAGATGGGAGAAGGTATGTGAAATCCACTTGGACCTGGGCCTGGGAGAGAGGTGCAGAAGCTGAAATGGAAAGTGGGAACTGGGAGGGCCTGCCCATGTGTCCTTCACAGTTACAGGAGATAGTTTACTCTATGCCAGGCTCTGGTCTAAGTGTTTTTACGTTCAAAAGTTCTGAGTTTTTCAGACTAGGCACAGACAGGCTAACTGTCCAAGGTTACTCAAGGAGTGAGGGAACTGGCATTTAAACTCAGGCAGTCTGGCCATGGCTGAGGCCCAGAGAGGGGTGGTAAATAGCCCAGGGTCACACAGCCACAGGACCAGGAGCCACTGGCTTCCTTCCAGCCTAGGAAAAACAATGACACCTGACTCCTAGCCAACTGGGGGCGGAGCAGAGGTGGAGCTAGGGAGACCCAGGTGGCCTCTCAGAGCCACAGCAGGGCGGCAGAGTAGCCTGGAGCAGCATGAAGCAGAGCCGGGGACCAGGGCTACTTATCCTGGGAGCTGTGGTCCTCATAGAGGGTGAGCCACCTGTGTTTGAGTGGGTGGGGGAGTGGTATCGTGGGGGTTCAGGGGCCACCCTCTGCTCCAGCACATCTTGTGTGTGAGGAAGACGGCCTGTGGGGTGACAGTCCACCTGTGGTGATGTAACTGTGTCCGGCTGTGTGTGGGGAGGTGTATGTGGCTGCCTGTGTCAAAATAGATATGATTTTCTTGGGCTGGATTGTCATAGTACCTGTGTGTGTACCCTGTGCCCGTCTGCCTCTCTACTTCTAGGAAGACCATAGGCAAGCTCTGGGGCCCTTTAGCCTCAGTCTCCCAGTCTTATGTCCCATCTCTCCTGGCTCAGGTGTTTAATGAGTGTGTTTGTGTGTGCCTATTATGGGGAAGAGGCAGGGCAGGGGACTCTTTGGTTGAGTCTGGCAGTTTCTGCAAAGGTGGGGGTGTCTGAGTCGTCAAAATGGGTGGGGTGAATCTCAACCTCTTAGAGCCCTCCCTCACTTGGACATGACGCGGGCCCCTAATCCTTCCTCGAAGGCCTCCATGCTGAGGGCACAATTAAGCTAATGCTCTCCACATATATAGGCTGCCTCCTGACTCAGTGGGGGGCGGGGGGGGCAGGAGTTGGGGTTTCTGAAGCGTGGAAAAGGGTTGGCCTGGTCCCAAGCTGAACCCCAGGCCCTGCTCCTCAGGCCCTGAAGTGCTGAGCACAGCTGAGGGAGGAGAGTTAATTACTGAGCATATGCTCTGAGTAGGTTCCAATAAAAGCTGTTTCTGGACCTCATATAAATATTTTCACTCTGGGAGGGGCTGGTGAGGTAGCCACAGAGTCATAGACAAGGGCCCAGGGCCTGTCCTCCAACCTGTCCCCTCCACCAAAGCTGGGCCAGGTAGGTAAGTCTCCCCCAAGTCTTACCTGTGTCTCTCTCCCCAGGTCTTCAAGCAGCTCAGCGTGGTAAGCTCTGGGGACATGGGGCCTGGGCCTTACTTGGGTCTGGGTCGGACCCTGGGTGAGGGCAGGATAGGGGCCTGCTGTCAGCCTGACCCACCCCTCTCTACAGCCTGTGGGCAACGTGGCCCTGGCCCCCCTGAGCCTCAGGAGGGCAACACGGGGCCTGGCGAGTGGCCGTGGCAGGCCAGTGTGAGGAGGCAGGGGGTCCACATCTGCAGTGGCTCCCTGGTGGCAGACACCTGGGTCCTCACCGCGGCCCACTGCTTTGAAAAGTGAGTCATGGCTGGGGTCCGACAGGGTTTCTGACTTTGGGGTGGGTGCTTTGGGATCAGACTCCACAAGACTAAACCCTGCCTCTAGAATAACGAAGGACTGTTTCCTAAGACGACGCCATGTGCCAGGGACTCATTATCGAGTTACTCTTCACAGCGTCACGGTAGAAGCCTCACAAACGAGAAACTGCTTGGGAGGAGGAAAGACCTTGCTTAAAGCCGCAGGCTGATATTTGTCCATTTTTCACCTACCTTGTTCTGTCTCCCCTGGTGTACTGTGCCCCTCTGCACACCATGCCTGGGCCTTGTCCCTCTCCTTCCAGAGCGGCAGTGACAGAACTGAACTCCTGGTCAGTTGTTCTGGGCTCTCTGCAGCGTGAGGGGCTGAGCCCAGGCGCAGAGGAGGTGGGGGTGACGGCTCTGCAGCTTCCCAGGGCCTACAGCCACTACAGCCAGGGCTCAGACCTGGCCCTGCTGCAGCTCGCCCACCCCACAGCACACACACCCCTCTGCTTGCCCCAACCTGCCCACCGCTTCCCCTTTGGGACCTCTTGCTGGGCCACTGGCTGGGATCAGGACACTAATGATGGTAAGTGCTGTCCTAGGCTGAAGCCCAAAGGGCCAGTCCACTTGCCCAAGGTCACAGAGCCTCAGCTGCCAACTGTTTATGTTTCTAGTCTCCCTTGCTCCCCAGAGCCCAGACTCTGGCCCCAACCCCCCATCTCTTTCCAGCTCCCAGGACCCTACGGAATCTGCGCCTGCGTCTAATCAGCCGGCCCACGTGTAACTGTCTCTACAACAGGCTGCACCAGCCGCTGCTAGCCAGCCCAGCCCGGCCTGGGATGCTGTGTGGGGGTGCCCAGCCCGGGGTGCAGGGGCCCTGTAAGGTCTGAGGGGGAGGAGAGAGGAAGGGAGCTGAAGGGGGAGAGGCCTGGCTTTGGGCTGGGTGCTCAATCCACAGGGATGGGTGGAAGGATGGCAGAGGTCTGCCCAGGGCTGGGGCTCAGGTGTCTGTCCTTGACTCCGTTGCCCCCTCCAGGGAGATTCCGGGGGTCCTGTGCTGTGCAATGAGCCCGATGGACACTGGGTTCAGGCTGGGATCATCAGCTTCACATCAAGCTGCGCCCAGGAAGACACTCCTGTGCTGCTGACTGACATGACTGCTCATAGCGCCTGGCTGCAGGCTCGAGCTGGGGGCGCAGCCTTTCCGGCCCAGAGCCCCGAGACCCTGCAGATGAGTGATGAGGACAGCTGTGTAGGTACGAGCGGAGGCTGAAGTGCGGTGTGTGGGAACACCCAGGCCCGCAGGAGGACTGGGCAGCAGGTGGAAGCCACAGTGAAATAAATTTCAGCTTGGGATAGAGAATGGACACAGGGCACCCACAAACTGTCCTATGCTAACTAGGGGAGTTCTAAGGCCCACCCCTTTGAGCCCCTAGGGCGGGAACAGCCCCATTTAGGGCTGAGAGGCATAGACGTTTCAGAACTTTATGGGTTTGGTGATGTAGCTGAAGGTTTTTGGGGTTAGCTACGTTTCCAAGCAAGGACCAGGTGAGACTGGACGGGCAGGGCTTCCACTCAGAATTCTAGCATAAAGCGATTAACGTGCAAATTGCATGCAAAATAATTCCTGGGAAGGAAGCTATGTCTTGATGGTAAGAGAACTAGTGAGCCAAGAATTCTGGGGCAGGTCCAAGCCCAGAGGGGTGCAGACAGGTGGGGCGGAGGAATAATGAGCCAGCCACTCCCTTGAGGCTGGACCATTAGTTAAAAGCTTAGGCCCTAGCTTTTGAATATCAAATCTGCTACTTACCTGTAGTTACTAAGCTAGAAAGTCACTTAACCTCTAGGGAACTTTGGTTACAAGGGTAACGAAATAAAAGGCTGTGAGGATTTGATAGTACATGGGAAGCACTTAGCACAGGGCCTGGCAGGCAGTGAGGACTTCGCAAGAAGGCAGATGGTGTAATCCGCCTGTTTCAGCCTGCGGATCCTTGGGGAGAGGAGGTCCCCAGGCAGAAGCCTCCTCCCCATGGCCCTGGGACGCCAGGCTGAAGCACCAGGGGAAGCTGGCCTGTGGCGGAGCCCTGGTGTCAGAGGAGGTGGTGCTGACTGCTGCCCACTGCTTCATTGGGTGAGCCCCATCTCCCTCGCCTTCGTGCCCCACCATCCCTGCTGGCAGTCCTGCGCCCAATGCTGTCAGTACTGTCTCCGCACAGGCGTCAGAACCCAGAGGAATGGAGTGTAAGGCTCGGAGCCGGGCCAGAGGAACGCACCCTAAAGCAACTCATCCTGCATGGGGCTTACACCCACCCAGAGGGGGGCTATGATGTGGCCCTCCTGTTGCTGGCCCAGCCTGTGACATTAGGCCCCAGCCTGCGGCCCCTCTGCCTGCCCTACACAGACCACCACCTGCCTGATGGGGAACGTGGCTGGGTCTTGGGTCTGACCCACCAAGGAGCAGGTATGTAGGACAGGGCCACAAGCAGCTGTCCATCCAGCCCAGAGGCCACTGAGGCAGCCGGGTCTTTCCCCCTCACCCCACCACAGGCACCAGCACCTCTCAGATAGTACCTGTCACCCTCCTGGGGCCCAGGGCCTGCAGCCGGCTGCATGCTGCCCTTGGTAGCGATGGCATCCCCATTCTGCCAGAGATGGTGTGTACCAGTGTTGTGGGTGAGCCGCCCCGCTGTGAGGTAAGCCCCAGTCCCCCAAACCTTACCCCTGGCATCCTCACCCTGCAGCTCATGTACAAGACCTGCTAGGCTTGGCCTCCAGACCTGCCTCTTATCTGAAATTCAGCCTTTTTGCCAACTGGCACCCTAGCCACTCTGCCCTTTGCAGCTGCCTGGGGGTAAGAGGAAGTCACCCAGTGTTACCTGACCCCTACAGGGCCTGTCTGGGTCACCACTGGTGCATGAGGTGAGGGGCACATGGTTCCTGGCTGGGCTGCACAGCTTTGGGGATGCCTGCCAAGGCCCCGCACGGCCTGCAGTCTTCACAGCGCTCCCCACCTATGAGAACTGGGTCAGCAGTTTGGACTGGCAGGTCTACTTTTCCAAGGAGCCGGAGCCCGAGCCTGAGCCCGAGGCCGAGATTGGAAGCTGCCTGGCCAATACAAGTATGTGGCCCTGAGGCCTTTGTGCTGATCCTCCCTCTCCAAACCTCTTCTGTCTGTCTAGGGAAAGATCTGTTCTGAGTCACCTCTAGGTGCCCTGAGTGGGGTGGAGCAGTAGACGGGCCCATCTGGATTCAGTTCTGGCTCTCGTCACTGAGTCGAACAGGCATCTCAACCTCCTGAACCTGTTCCCTCATCCATCGTGGGGGCCAAGTAGCACCTTCTCCCTCTTCCTTCTAGGGAGGGAAGAGAGTTGTGAGGTGAGGACACTGCCCCCCTCTTCCTCTCCCTAACAGGCCAACCAGCTGGCTGTTGACAGGTGGCTCTGGGATGCTGCAGACACATCACCACCTCTTCCCCTCTCCATTCCCCCCATCCACACACGATTCCAGGCGCTGGAGCAGCCCAAAAGCCCAGTGGGCTCTGGAAAGGAGCCTGCCCGGATTGGCAGCTGCCTCCTCTCCCAACCCTGCAGGACAGGGAGATGTCACCTGTAGATGCTTCCCTCTCGGCTCTGCTCTCCGACGCAGGCGTCCCAGCTTTCCCTGGTCTTCATCCCCTCAGATATAATCACACCAGCCAAGTACTTGGAAAATTTTCTTTTTGGAGGAGGAGGGGGGAATGGTGGTGCAATTTTCCTTTTTTTAAACTTAAATAAATTGTTACAAAATAGACTTTAGAAAATAAGTTACAAATTGTAGCAAAAGGCCCCCTTCCACAGGCAACATTCCTACCCCTGGCTCTCTGAATCTGCCTCCCCCAGTGTTAGAATCTGATTGGTGAGGGTGGCCCAGCATCACGGCAGACCCTGGCATCAGGTTTCTTACGGGATGGTCATAATGAATAGCATGGTGACAAAGGCTGGGAAAGGAGATCCTTCAAGGACAGGGACATGAGGAGAATCTCACCCCCTGCTTGGGAAAGAAGACAGATCTGGATCCTCTTTGCAAGGGGAGGGGAGAAGAGATGGGGTTGCCCAAACTACTCCTGAGTACAAGAGATCAAGCCTTTCCCTGCAACCTGCACTCTTGCCCTGTATTCTGATCTTTGGAGAATTGAAGTTCACAGGGAGAAGCTGAGGTCTGCAGACCACTGGGGTGAAGGGTCCAGGAGTGGGGTCGTGGGGGTGGATGGAGGGGGCAATGACAGGCCCACCGCTGGTGCCTTTGAGGCTCCTGGGGAGAGAGAGAAGTTACTGACTGAGGGGGCAGACACCACACAGCTTATATTCCCCCTCCCTGGCCCTGCCCATGGCCCCGCCCATGGCCCCAGGAAGCTGTATGAGAACCCCAGAGTCCTAGGACTTCCAATAATTTTCCCAGACTTGGCTGACTGGCTCCTCACTCATTCCCTTGAGGTCACAAGAATCTTTTATCCTGAAAGCCATTTCATTGGCTCTCTCAGGGGGATCTCAGCCACCATCCCTCCTTCCGTGACAATCTCTGGTCAAAGGCCCACCATCTCAGGACACCCTCCCTTGGTGGCCACTAAATGGAATGGGTCCTGGGAGATCTCTAGAGGCGGTAGAGTGAGCAAGCCCAGGGCTTGCTGAGGGAATAGGCTGTCCCACTATTCCACAGTCTCGTCTTCCAGCTTGGCTGGGTGGAGGTGACTCTGTGGAGATTCCCTGATAGAGGGAGATAGGGGCTAATGACTGTTGTTGCTACAGCTGGGCCTGGCTTCAAGGAAACCATTATCTATGACTCAGTCCTCCAGTTAAAGGTGTGCTGGCGGTAGGGGGTGTGCAGGTGGAAAGGGTGGTTTGGTTGGATCCTAAAAAGGACATTCACAGCAGAGAGAGAAGAAAAGGGTTGAATAAAGGGAAAGAGAAGAGACAAGAGGCAATACTGGTAGGAAAGGACCAAAGGTCTGGTTTTCAAAAGAGGAGGGGGAGCAGAGACCAGATGCAGGGAAAGAGGGACAGGGAGCTGGGGGCCATTCAGTGGCCTAATTTTACTGAAGCCACGAAGTCCAGTATGGGGGTGTCTCCCACACCCCATTCCTCATTCCCTGGCTCCCTGCTTACTCTAGAAAAGAGTAGAACCTAAATCATCTTTTGCTCTGGGAATCATTATTGGCTGGATCAGGAGGATTTACAGATGTAGTAGCCAAAACAAAAAGACTCCTTCTCTTTGGCTCTGGCACAGCAAGGAGCCCAGACAGCTAGCTGCCTCTGCCCCTGCCTACTCCTTACCCCATCCCACCATGCTATATCTATTTACCTGGCCCAGGGGTTCAGATTTAGGCCACTCAAAAGGCAGATCTTCAAACTAGTTTTCTCTCATACTCAAGCTGCTGGTCACCTCTTGGAATCCACGTGACTCCCTCCTCTCACTCCTTGCTCTCCCATTACATCGGGGCCAGATTTTGCCCTCCACTGTATGCCCACCTCCTCTGGGATCCTTCAATCCTCTGCCCATTCATACCCCCGTACCAGAGTTGGCCACTGTCCATTCCTCCTGGTGCTGCTGCTGGTGCTGCAGAAAGCTGATGCGGCGGCGGAAGTGGCGGGGACAACGGGGGCAGGTGAAGGGCCCCTCCTGGGGTTCATGGACCCGCCCATGGCCCTCCAGCCGGGCAGCTGTCCGGAAGGCCTTGCCACAGATGCTGCAGCGATGGCGTTTGGGGTCCGTGTGGGTCCTACCATGGTTCTTAAGGGAAAGCAGGTTGGGTAGAAGTTTGGGGCAGAGGGAGCAAGGATAGAGTCCAGTGGTATGGGCCTTCTGATGGTTCAGCAGGCTACCGGCATGGCGGTAGGAACGTCCACACTGGGCACAGCGGAAGGGCCGCTGCTCATCTTCAGCCACTGTGGACTTTACTCCCTGCCCTCCATTAGCTCTCTCAGCATTCTCTCCAGGGGCCCTGGGGGGGTCTGCTGGGGCCTTCTGGGCTTTCCCTTGACCATTGAGATCTACCTCATCCTCTACTGCCCCAGCTTTGGGACCTCTGGCTTCCTCTATCTGGGGTGGCACCTGACTGAGGCCCCTGGCATGAGTTTGCAGGTGACTGGCTAGTTCATGTTGGGACTGAAATGTCTTGCCACAGTCAGGGCAGGCAAAGGTCTGGGCAGCTATGTGGTTGTGGCTGTGACTCTTAGTGGCCACAGGATTCAAGAACTCCTTAGAACAAAGCAGGCAATAGTGGCAGTCTGCCTTATGGGTGTGGTGGTTCAACGGGCCTTCCGATTGGCAGTAGGTCTTACCACAACGGCAGCAGGAAAAGGGGTGGCTCTCTGGCTGGAGCTGAGGGCTGCTGTCTCCAGTGTCCCAGCTATCCACATGACTCAGACTAGGTCCACTGTGCTGGCTGTTGCCAAGGTGGCAAGGACTTTTGGGGACACTGTCCCCTGACTCGTCTTCTGGCTTGGTCAGTACATGACCATGAGAAACCCAATCTCCATCATGATTCACCAGTCCCCTGTCTCCTTGCTGCCCATCTGCTTGTTCCATGCCCCAGGATACTGGCTCTGTGGCTTCTGAACCTGCTGATATGATGGGGCTATGATTCTTCTCCCCTGGCCTCATGGCTCCATACTCCAGCTGGCACACTGACTCAGTACCACCAGGTCTGTCCTCTAGTCCCTCGTCATCAGTGAGGTTCCCCTTACTGCCCTCTGTGCCATCGGGGCCTCCCTGACCACTTTTGGTCTCTTCCTCATGCTCTCGCAGGTGCCGCTCCAGAGAACCCCGGCCAGGGAAGCCCCGGCCACAGAGGGCACAGCGGACAGCAGCCCGCCGGGATCGCCCTGCTCGCCGCCGGCGGCTCTCTGAGTGCAGCCTCTGGTGGTCCTTCAAGGCCATGAGGTTGGAGTAGCTTTTGGGACAGGTGGGACAGCTGTACTGGCCTGTCTCATGGCTGCACCGGTGGTTTAGGAGGCTGCCAGCATGGCGGTAGTTCCGCCCACACCGCCCACACCGGAAGGGCCAATCTTTCCGAGTCAGTTTTCGGGTGCTCCCACCCCCACCGCGCTCCAGGTGGATCTGCTGGTGGCTAGCCAGTTGTTTCCGCAGGCGGAAAGCCTTGCCACAGTCACTGCAGCGGAAACGCCGGGGATCCGCATGGATGCGCCGGTGGTTCTTGAGGGACATGAGGTTTGAAAAGCCTTTGGAGCAGGCCTGGCAGCCAAAGTGGCCCGTTTGGTGGCTCTGCCGGTGATTAATGAGGCTGCCAGCGTGCTTGTATGACCGGCCACATACCTCGCAGCTGAAGGGCCGCTCAGAACTGGCCTCGGTCTGGCAGCCCTTCTCTGCAGTCTCCAACCTTAGCTCCATCTCCTCCCCCTTCACAGTGGTCTCCTCCCATGTCTCTTCTTTCACCCTGGTCATCTCCTCTGGAGGCTCTACTTTAAGTTCCTCTTGGAACTTCTCCACTTCTGCCTGCCCCAGCCCCATCTCTGCCACATTCTGGGGCTCACTGCTGCTTTCTGCCTCTGGGATGGGCCCCACTTGGGGCTCAGAGCCTTTGCAGCGTGGGTGGTTTCGTAGGTGATTGCGGTAGGCAGCCAGGTTGGGGTAGCAGCGGGAGCAGACAGGGCAAATGTAGTCTCCAGTCTGGTGGATTTTGCGATGGTTCACTAGGCTGCCCCCATGGCGATAGGTTTTGCCACACTGGTTGCAGCGGAAGGGACGGGGCTGGGCCTCCAGAGAAGTTTCCCCACCCTGTAAGCAGAGGCTGTCTGCAACTGTGGCACCTACACCCTCTCCAGACTTTGTGTCTCCATCCACTGCAGACAGAAAACTCACGGCGCCCTCCACGATTCCATCTGCAACTGCTTCTGTGGCATCACCTGACTCTCCCAAGTGGTTGGGAGCCTTGTCTGTGGTGTTCCCAGAACTCTGACTTTGGTGATGACGCTCCAGGCTCCCCAGGTCATCATAAGTCTGACCACAGCAGCCACAGATGTGCCCATAACCGGCTCCATCCAGCGCCTCCACCTCCCGCTGCAGCTGATTCAACAGCTCTGTTTCCGAGAGCTGCAGTGAGGTACTATGGGAGGAGGCTGCCACTGCTGCTCCTTCCTCTTCTCCCTCCTCCTCTGAGCCCTCAGTCATGCCAGAGGAGTCATGAGCCTGGCGCCGGTGAAGCCTGTAGCCAGCCCGCCCAGGGAAGATCATGCCACAGAGGCAGCAGAGGAAAGGCTGTGCTGGGGCTGCCTCCCCGGGCCTGTGGTTCTGGAAGTGGCTGCGCAGGGCAGGCAGAGAGTCAAACTCCTTCGGGCAAACGGAGCACTGATAGATGTCTGGTGGGTGGCAGGGCCTGTGGCTCAGCAGGCCGGTGGCATGGGGGAAAGAATGCCCACAGACAGAACATGTGTGGGAGACCTCAGCCTGCCAGCTAGTGACAGCTTCAACAGAGTGAGAA